TAAAGGAGCAATCATATTTAGGATACATATAGGGTTGCCACCTGTCCGGGATTCACCCGGACAGTCCGGGTTTTGAACGCTGCGTTGGGGTTTCATGGCAGCAGAAACCCGGACACATGATGTCAGGCAGACAGGGGACACTGTCATTTTGGTGTAACCCCTCCAATGTTGGGCCGCACCCCCCTTATGACGCCACTGGCGGCGCTATTTACATGAATGAATTTACATGAATAAGCTGCGACTCATTCTCCCCCAAAAAATGTCCGTGCGTTGCTAGAGTGTTCGGGTTTCACTTGAAGAAAAGGTGACAAGATACATATAATCATGGAGCAGTTTATTGGGAACACTATATGTGGATGCTGAGTGCGGCCTCCCTTAAGCTTTCATTCCCCACCAAAAAAAGGCCTTTGAGATTTCGGTCAATGTTGACCTAATACCTGCAGTTTTGTCAGCTGCACATTCATTGGGAATTTTCCATCCTTTCTAGGGATGCACCAATATATATCACACGCCGAAAGTGCCATTTTCCTGCCGATACATTGGCGCGTCCCGGCTTTCTTTCCTCCGCGCTGGGCGCTGCTCTGTGTCCCAGCGGGGAGGAGAGAAAGTGTGACAGCCGGCCGAGCGCTGCGGGAGGAGAGCGCTGTGAGCGGCCGGTGTCTCTCCTCCCACACCGCTCAGCCTCCTATCACAGTCCGGCAGATCGGTGTGGGGGCGGAGACAGGCGCGCTGTCACAGGAGGCTGAGCTCTCCTCCCCGCACCGCTCGCTCCGCCTCCTGTGACAGCGTGTCAGAGAGGAGAGCGGGTACACGCAGTCATGTGATCAGTGATCGCTGAGTGTTTGTAGATATTTGAGGACATGGTATGGTTACTATATCCCCAATTATGAATGAATGGGAAGTGATCTACATCCCCTCCTACATCACTTCCTGTCCATTCATGATTGTAGTTATAGTAATCATACTCTGTCCTCATGTTATCAATGTTCAGGAACACTCTCAGTATAGAGGATTCCTGTTCATTGATAAAGGGGGCTGCAGAAAAAGAGATTGAGGACTCCGTGTGTCTCTGAGGACTCTGTGTCTCTGAGGACTCTGTGTCTCTGAGGACTCTGTGTCTCTGAGGACTCTGTGTGTCTCTGAGGACTCTGTGTGTCTCTGAGGGCTCCGTGTGTCTCTGAGGGCTCCGTGTGTCTCTGAGGACTCTGTGCGTCTCTGAGGACTCTGTATGTCTCTGAGGACTGTGTGCGTCTCTGGGGACTCTGTGCTTCTCTGAGGACTCTGTGTCTCTGAGGACTCTGTGTCTCTGAGGACTCTGTGTCTCTGAGGGCTCTGTGCGTCTCTGAGGACTCTGTGTGTCTCTGAGGGCTCTGTGTGTCTCTGAGGACTCTGTGTGTCTCTGAGGACTCTGTGTGTCTCTGAGGGCTCCGGGTGTCTCTGAGAGCTCTGTGTGTCTCTGAGGGCTCTGCGTCTCTGAGGACCCTGTGCGTCTCTGAGGACTCTGTGCGTCTCTGAGGACTGTGTGCGTCTCTGAGGGCTCTGTGTCTCTGAGGACTCTGAGTCTCTGGGGACTCTGTGCTTCTCTGAGGACTCTGTGTCTCTGAGGACTCTGTGTCTCTGAGGGCTCTGTGCGTCTCTGAGGACTCTGTGTGTCTCTGAGGGCTCTGTGCGTCTCTGAGGACTGTGTGTGTCATCCACCTCTTGGTGTGACATACGAAGCTCCCCTCCTATGTGCCTTGTTGCCTGTTTCCTGAACCCTTTGCTGACCTCCCGTGTACCGGCCTTGGACCGCCTATCGTTTCTAACCCTCTGCTGCCTGCCTCGACCTCGGATTACCCTCGACTACCTCTTTGGATTGCCCCCTGGTTACCTTGCCTTCGGACCCTTCCGGCTGCTTCCTGCCAGCGGGTTCCCTATGTGCTGCTCGCCCACGGACGCACCTGATAGTGTGTCTCTGAGGACTCTGTGTGTCTCTGAGGGCTCTGTGTGTCTCTGAGGGCTCTGTGTGTCTCTGAGGGCTCTGTGTGTCTCTGAGGACTCTGTGTGTCTCTGAGGGCTCTGTGTGTCTCTGAGATTTTTGATTTCGGTTTCTTTTCGGTTTTTTAATTTCTATTTCGGTGCACCTCTAATCCTATCACATCCCCGAGGTGCTCATTGGATGGTGACTGATCTATCGTCAGTGTGCCTCAGGAGAAATGGAGATCCATCAGGACCAGGCTGCATTTTTCCACTCCAGTGTGGGTGATTCTGGGCCCACTGTGGCCTCGGCTTGGCTGACAGGAACCCCTGATCTTCTTCTGTTGTAACCCCTCTACCTCAAGGTGTTGTACATCTGAGATGATTTTCTGCTCAGAGCAGTTGTGAAGATCAGTTATCTGAGGTTATGGAGACTCAGCTCCAAACAGTCTGGCCATTCTCCTCTGACCTCCCTCATCCACAAGTCTTTTCCATCCCCAGACCTTCCTCTTATTAGATGGTTATTTATTTTTGCCCCATTCTGAGGAAACTCTGAGGGAACCATTGTGTGTGAAAATCCCAGGAGGTCAGCAGATACATCAATACTCAAACCAGCACATGAGGCACCAACAACTATGCCAAGGTCACTGAGATCACATCTTTCCCCATTCTGGTGTTTGATGTGAACAATAACTGAAGCTCCTGACTTGTCATTGCATGATTGGTTGAATAGATAATTTCATGAATGAGCAGATGTATAAGTGTTCCTAATAAAATGCTCATTGAGTGTACAATATACAGAGGTTCTTAATGTTTTTACCATTACAGGCCTCCAATGGCTTGCCCAGTATATCCCCATATCCCCATCACCAGAATGTCCAAATTATCATCATTACCAGTTCTATTAGATACCACTATGACTTCCAAGATGTCCTGTTAGATACCGCAATAACCTCGAAGATGTCCTGTTAGATACCACTGTGGCTTCAAAGATGTCCTATTAGATGTCCTATTAGATACCGCAATGACCTCGAAGATGTCCTATTAGATACCACTATGACCTCAAAGATGTTCTATTGGATGTCCTGTTAGATACCACTATGACCTCAAAGATGTCCTATTGGATGTTCTATTAGATACCACTATGAGTTCAAAGATATCCTATTAGATATCCTGTTAGATACCCCTATGGCTACAAAGATGTCCTATTAGATACCACTATGACCTCAAATATGTCCTATTGGATGTCCTATTAGATACCAATACAGCTTTAAAGATGTCCTATTAGATACCACTATGACTTCAAAGATGTCCTATCAGATACCACTATGAGTTCAAAGATGTCCCATTAGATATCCTGTTAGGACATCTTTGAAGTCATAGTAGTACCTAATAGGATATCTTTGAAGTCATAGTGGTATCTATTAGGTACCACTATGACTTCAAAGATGTCCTATTAGATGTCCTATTAGATACCACTATGACTTCAAAGATGTCCTACTAGATACCACTATGACTTCAAAGATGTCCTATTAGATACCACTATGACTTCAAAGATGTCCTATTAGATGGCCTGTTAGATACCACTATGACCTCAAAGTTGCCTATTAGATGGCCTGTTAGATACCACTATGACTTTAAAGATGTCCTATCACATGGTTTTATTTTCCATATGGACAGCCAAGGAACAGAAAACTGTAACAAGCACCTTATTGACTTTCTGTGCATCCCAGTAACTCCAATAAGGGTGATGCTGTGATCCCTGGACACGGCCCTGGACACAGCATCCTCCAAGATGTGGGACCGCCCCTCGCAAATCCCGGACTGTTGTCATCTATACCTGTATGTAATATCTATCTCTCTCTCTTTTTATCAATTCATTCAAATTAACTTTCTGTCCTTTTTTTTGTTGTTTTTTTGTTTTTTCTTTTCCTTCATCCCAGCGATGACGACATCGTCTTCGAAGACTTTGCCCGCCAAAGACTGCATGGGATGAAAGACGACAAGGAGGAGGAGGACGAGGGAACGAACTCGCCTTCGACGAACGACAGATAAGAAGCGTTTCCCCGCCGCGACAAAACCTCCTCATCGCGTGTAAAACTTGTGGGCCGGGGGCTTGTTCTTTTCTTTTCTTCTCAAAACTCCACAAAGAGCCCCATCCCCGACGGCAAACAAAACAAACAAAACAAAAAAAACGATTTGGCGGCCCTTATAATCTTCCAGCTGTGCCATAAATTGTCACCTGCGCCTCGTGCTATACCCTTCTTCAGTTTCCGGCGACACTTATGTTACACGCACACGGCGACAAATAAAAACAAACAAAAACAAATGAGGTGAGAAATCGAAAAGCGTCCAATCGTGGTCCGCGCATCAAACTTACCGTACGTCAGGAGTTCTTGTAGCACTTTTGTATTAATCGAGTCTTTTATGCATTTTGTATGATTCCGGTATTATCACCTCAAGTATTTGTTACACGGAAAGAAACATTCTATAGATTCAGCCGTTTCAGAAATCAAAAAGCAACATTGTATTTTATTAAAAAAAAAACACAAATCATTGATTTAGGGCAGAGGGTTTTAGGAAGGAGGGGGGCAGAGGGTTTTAGGAAGGAGGGGGGCAGAGGGTTTTAGGAAGGAGGGAGGGCAGTGGCTTTGATACAAAGTGTCTATGGCCGCGGGTAGAAACGATCGCGTCAGAAAGTGTTTCAGTGTAACCGTTGTAAGTGTTGTCCACTTTAAGGACTGACTAGCAGTTGATCGGAAGGAGCGCCGGGGCGCGGAAATCGTCGCCTCCAGTTTCCGCTTTTATGGGTAGCTTAAAAAAATCTCAGAACCTGAAGTTTTTTTTGGGGGGGGAAGAGGAAGTGACAATTTTTTTTCGGGTTGTAGAATTCCTTTGTTTTATGGCGTTTTAGAGATTAACGAAAAAACCTCCTAGAAATTTCCTAGACGCGGCAAGATGTGTTTTTAACGCGTTTCGCCGCCCTTCGGCTGGGGATCTTACCCGGCAAACGCATCGTGTAAGCTTTTTCAGGGTGGAGGACCACATGGAGTCTGTCCCGATTGCCGCCCATTGAGACAAGGCCTTAGAAAGAATTCATTTCAATGGGAACTTTGGACCATTTTGTGCAGAAAGTGTATTTTTAGGCATTACCCGAATGTACCACCCCCCCTCCCCCAAACCTCCCTCTCCCCCTGTAGATTATGCCCCAGCTTTATTTTTTTATTCCTTGTTACAGCTTTTGTTACTCCCTGTGACATCATCAGCAGGCTTGTAAAATTCTGACAGGGGCAGCTGCGGAAAGGCCAGTTCCTGCCGACCCCAGAACTACGCCTCCCAATAGCTCTTTCTCTACACAGAGCGTGTGGGCGGGTTCATGCTACCGACCCCAGAACTACACCTCCCAATAGCTCTTTCTCTACACAGAGCGTGTGGACAGGTTCATCTTACCGACCCCAGAACTACACCTCCCAATAGCTCTTTCTCTACACAGAGCAAGTGGGCGGGTTCATCCTACCAACCCCAGAACTACACCTCCCAATAGCTCTTTCTCTACACAGAGCGTGTGGGCGAGTGGACGGGTTCATTTTACCGACCCCAGAAGTACACCTCCCAATAGCTCTTTCTCTACACAGAGCAAGTGGGCGGGTTCATCCTACCAACCCCAGAACTACACCTCCCAATAGCTCTTTCTCTACACAGAGCGTGTGGGCGGGTTCATCCTACCAACCCCACAACTACACCTCCCAATAGCTCTTTCTCTACACAGAGCAAGTGGGCAGGTTCATGGGATGCAATGCAGCCAGTACAGAACGCATGCTGGTACAGAAATTAATGTATGTGTGTGGAGAGAAACAGAAAAGGTTAGGGGGGAATTCTGTAGTCCAGCAGGCAAGGATGACAGCATCGGTTGGGACTGTGTTGTCAGCCGGAACAGGAAGTTGGGAGCATGTTAGATTTCTGCCTTAACATGGAGAATTGGTCTGGTTGATTTTGCTGCGGAAATATCAGCTTTTTTCTGATCTTCTTCTGGTGGTGGGTGTCATTGAGAAAGCTGCACTGACGTGATAACATGAGCGCCGCTTCCTCCAACATTGTATGTGATTGCAGGGCAGACGCCCCCCTAGTGGGAGGGTCCATGACAGCCTCTACTCACTGTATGTCCTCAGTCTTCTGCTCAGGACACCTTGTGGTGGGGAATAGGTACTGCAAGTGACAGCTGGGGAGAGGGGATAAGCTGTGTTTTTCTGTATCAGACACATTTTCTGAATGTGACCCCAGACTCTTCTGCCCCAGGGTCTCCTGCCCCAGGCTCTTCTGCCCCAGGCTCTCCTGCCCCAGGCTCTCCTGCCCCAGGCTCTTCTGGCACAGGCTCTTCTGGCACAGGCTCTCCTGCCCCGGGCTCTCCTGCCCCAGGCTCTTCTGGCACAGGCTCTTCTGGCACAGGCTCTCCTGCCCCGGGCTCTCCTGCATCAGTCTGCTCTGGCACAGGCTCTCCTGCCCCGGGCTCTTCTGCCCCAGGCTCTCCTGCCCCAGGCTCTCCTGCCCCAGGCTCTTCTGCAGGAGAGGAAGCCAGGCTTCCCTATGCCAGTTGAGTGCAGCATACGATGCAATATGGCCAGCTGCAACGTTAATGACCACAACACCCATCATCCCACGCCTGGAGTACGAGAACCCAATTACTCGGCATCGGCACCAATACCAATACTAGTATCGGTGCGTCCCTAATAAATACAGCGCCGCGTCTCTTCTCTCTGCCCGGAGTTCGGCTTTCATACCTCAGAACCCTTCGAGATCCCCGGAAAGCAGGATCTGTCGCCTCCATTGGACGCCGCTGATGATGTCACGCGTCGCTCTCTTTGCTCCCGCCCATGTCGGCGTCTTGATTTTATCCTTGTAAATAGTCATCACTTTGTATCCGGAATATTCCCACTTTGGTTTCCTATGAAGATGTATATTTAGTAAATCTGACCGTAACTTACCGTGAAAAAGGTCTTCAGTTTCTTGTCGCAGTTTTTCTTCTCCTGGTGAATAGTTCTGCTGCAGGAATTCCGCATGGGGGCGGGGTCAGAATTTTTATGTAAGGATTTCCA